GTGAAGTTAGTGATGACATGCTCCACTCCTGAGTCCGCATGTGCAATATTAAGGTATAACGTAAAGAGCCCAGTGGTAGTTGCTATTGCTTGCCAATGCCCACTGAGATGGACCATTTCACCATGTGCAAAGGGCTGGCTGACTCAGCTGGCAGAAAAATCAAGAAGCCTTTCAGCCCTGCTTGTTCCAAAATCAACCTCATCTTCATAATTTTAAGCACACCACTACATGGCGGACTAGTGAGAAGGACACAGAAAAACACTCTCACAGAATTAAACTTGCAACTACAAATTATAACTAGTGCTCCAAAGACAAGAAGCAGAGATCCACGGGGATTGGGGGGAGGAGCATTATTCACAGTGGGAAAAGGGAGCAGTTAGAGAAAGCAGCATTTCAAGGCAGTGTAGCACACTGGTGTAAGAGAGAGTTGGGTTTGAACCCAATTCAGCCTTTTTGTAGCTCTGTAAATTTAGGTAAATCATGTCCTTCTCCAAACCTCAGTTCCCTCATTTTCAAAATGAGAACAAGACTAACCATATAGTGCCGAAAGATGCAATGAAGTCATCGTGCTATCTCTAGAATTTTGTAAGAACTTAATGAAATTATTATTACTAGACACGACAGTTCAAACTATATTCCAACTAGAGTATTAGTCTGTGATGGTTACTGTAACAAGTACTGCAGACTGGATACCTCAAGCAACAGAAGTTTTTTTTCTCTCAGTTCTGGAAACTAGAAGTCCCAGATCAAGGTGTTGGCAGGTTTGATTTCTTCTCCTGGGCTTGCAGATAGGAACCTTCTCCCCATGTGCTCACACAATCTCTCCTCTCTGAACCTGCAAAACTCTATGTGGCTGTAGTTCTTTTCATAGAAGGAGGACACCAATCACCTTGGATTAGAACCCATTCTAATGGCCTTGTTTTAATACAGTCACCTCTTGAGAGGTCTAATCCAAAGAATTAAGAGTGAGATCTTCAACACATGAATTGGAAAGGGGACACAGTTCAGTCCATAAACAACTATTTGGGTATGGGAGCGGACCAAGGAGAGAAAAGGAAGCTTGACTCCTAGCCAGTAAGGACAACAAAAGGAAGTGATGTGAGGTGGCTGTTGCTACTGCTGTGATTATTATTATTACTGAGTGCTATTAGCACTGCCTCCGCTCAAGGATATGCTAGCCTTTAGAGTGGGACTCCAGAAGGCAAAGCAATGTTCAGCAAAGGCTGACTTGTACATGCTCCTTGTGCCTGAACTTTGAAATACTGAGAACCTTTAGAAACTTCTTGTTAGAAGAGACAGGAGGTTTGCAGTGGAGAGAATATGGGAGGAACTAAGTAAGGCTGCGATCACGCTGTGCTGAGCCTGTATAAACTGCCTAACTTGTACTCCGCAACACAACACTTAGAATTCCCTGAGGGTAGAGACAATGTTTGAGTTAGTCATTTTTAAATCCTCCTCTAAGCACAGTGCCTTGCTTATAAGTGAAGTTCAATGAATAATAATGAATGAATAACACAAATAAACAACCCAACCATTACTATCACTTCTCATCAATGAGACACATATGTGAAATTTCCCTCACTACTCAGCTCCAACATACTCTATAGCAATATATATTGAGTAGGAGAGGGTCTTTCCCCAGCCCCACTAAAGACAGCCTCCTAATCCTGCTTTTGGAACGGCAGCCGACAAAGTGCTTAACTAGAAATCGAAAGCTGTGAAAAGTTCATTTAGGGCTTTAGAGACTTAAAAAAAATAACATCTGGGAACATTTTAAAATTTATGTGTGGTCCAATTTATGAAATGGAAGGCAGAACATGGGCTCAGAGCACCAATTACTTGCCCTTTTTGTCTCCCAATTTCTTGGAGAAAATTTAGTGAGCTAACTCATAGCATATCAATATAATAAAGTACCCAACATTTGGGTAAATTATAGATTAGCTGCAGCAATTGTTCAGCTTTTAAAAAGAATTTTCCAAATGAAAAGGGGATTTTTAAAAAATTTTCGTCCATTTTGTTCATTGTCCTGCAGTTTTGAAAAATACATCATAATAGAACTGAAATTGTCTTATGGCATTCTACCCACACTTGGTCTAATTTTCCTAGTGTTTTTTCCAGCTGCTCTATTAAAGCAGGACAAATTGTCACCTTGAGAGATGATGACAGAAAAGTAATAAAATAACTACAGATTTTTTTTTAATTGTCATTCAGATCTGGAGATGCTAAATAACAACCAAGAAAATAGCGGGGTGGAAGTGTTCTCTCTGGTTACTACTACTTCAATACTGCTGCTATTTAACAAGCTGGCTGTGTTAACAAGACTGAGCTAGGGGTACAGCCATAAGGTCTTCTGACCTCCAAGTCTCTTAAAAGCTTTTAAAAGAAAAGTGTACAACAAAAAGGGTCAAGAAAGGTGGACCCACATCTTAGCTCTGTCATTTGCTGGCTTTATGTCCTTAAAATGTCCACGGTTAGAAAACACAAACCCAAATTGAGAAACATTCTACAAAACAAGTGGCCTGGACTCTTCAACAAACACCAATGTCATGAAAGTCAATGAAAGGCCCAGGAGCTTCTCTTGAGTAATGATCACTCACAGGACATGACAGCTAAGTGCAACAAGTGACCCAGACTGGGCCCTAGATCAGAAAATAATGTGCTAAAGTACATCATTGAGTCAACTGACAAAATTGTCATTCTTTTACTTATTGATATGTTTGTTGCCTTTTCAGATTGTCTCCCACCGTAAAAACTTCATGAAGAGAAGGACATTTTCTAAGTTATTCACTTGTATATTACTAGCATTTATGAGATGTTCAATATTTTTAATACATGAATAGGATCAGCTCCACCAATTCATTTTCTACAAACTACAAATATTTCCCACTGTATGGTACATACTTTAAGTCAATTACCTCATTTAGCTTTAAACAAATAAATAAAGCAAAGTGGATGCTGTAAGTCCCATTTCTCAGATTAATAAACTAAGAATTTTACAAAAGTCACTATTTCCTGATGGAGATAAAGATGAAGCCAAGATTTGAACCAAGCCTTACTCTCAAATCTTTGTTTTTTTATGAGGCACAGCCTCATAAAAGCAGGCATATTCCAAGTCTTCCCTTCAAATGCATGGAGTGTCATTAGCATCCTGAAATCATATGTGCAAGGGCTTGACAAAGCTTCATCTTCTTCTGCCACTTTTCTTTGACACGAGGCCTTCAGCTGCTGTGGGTGATGGTAAGGCTTTTAACCTGATGAATCAATAGCTGATCCCTGTCCACCTTCATCACTAGAGTGACACATGGAAGCTTCAGAGCCATCTCAGGTCCTTAAAGCACCTTGTTTGTTGTCCTCAGGTTTCAGGTTAGCAATTTTCACAATATTAGCTTGTCCTTTGGATGAGATATGAAACTCTCAGTAGTCACTTAGGGCGTGACTTGCATCAGCAGTAATGGTAGCTGGAGTTGTGTCCTTGATTCATAAAAGTAAAAAGAAAGCATTGAAATTTTCTAAAGAAGTCCTTGTCAAATATTTATTAAAGTACCTCTTGAGTTCCAGGCACTGCTTTCAAGGAGTTTGCAGACCAGTGAGTAAAAAATACAAGCAAATAATGTGTGCCCTCAGAAGGGAAAAACAGGATGCTGCAGGAGAAGGTGAAGAAACCAAGAAAGGCTTCCAGGGGAAATAACCTGAAGAATACATGAGAGCTACCCAGGTTAAAGAGGAGACAGTATCAACATTCTTAGCAGAAATAACACATTCAGTGACCTAACTGTGACACAACATTACACACTGGAAGAACTTAAGGAAGTTTCACGCAGGTAGAACATTAGAGTTAGGGTGATGGCAAGCAAGGCAGCTGTAAAATCCAGGCAGGGCCTGGAGGTTCAGACTCCAACCTCAGAGTAATGCAAAGTCAATATTAATTTCCGTGAGAATGATCTTCTTGAGCTTGGCTCAAAGGATTGCAAGATAACACAGACTCTACGGCTGCCTCAATCGCAGTCCAGCCAGGCTATTGCCACCACCAATTATTTTAGTGGAAGTAATTAAATGTAAAGAATGAGCCAGATATTAGAAAAACTAAAAAGACCAAAAAGAGACACTAGAGTATCATAAATGTAGTAGCTGGAGGAAACAGCTACCACTTTGAGGGCTGAGGAAACAAGGTATTGATATTATCAAAATTTATAAACTTGGAGCGAAGGTGCTGCAGAGTGCAAGCCCAGGCCTCTGAGGAGAGGATGCTGTCTGGCAGATGCCAATTCCTCTGCAATTCAGAGGATCTGGAAGAGCTGGGATTTGGATTTCCGAGGAGATACTGGCTAGAAAGTGCTAATGTCTCAAAAGGCAGCAAGAGGGCAGTTCTGAGAGCCTAGGAAAAACTACATACTGGAATCAATAGCTTCTGTTGAAAGCAAGCATCACTGTCAAGGTGAAGAAGCATTGCTGGGTTATGTAAATAGGAGGGAACGTGGTTCTTCCTTCCTCTCTAGCCCCACATCTCTGGCTTCCCCTCCTGTATTGGCAGAGCCCAACAGGGAACCACACCGCAAAGGAGAAATGTGGTTTGCCAAGTCTCAGTCCTGGTATCAAAGAGCTGAGTAACAAAGATGAGCTTGGAGCTGTCAGACAATAGCTCAGAACAGTTTCTGGACTTCTGTCTCCCAACCAGGAAGGGGAGGACCAGATTTTTAGGCAATGGATTTAAGCAAGTTTCTCAGAGGGGGACTGTAAGGAGAAAGAGAGGCTTACTCCCTGACAGGCTGAAAAATGAGGAAGAAATCACATCTGAATTTCAAACACCCTGAGGACACTCAGAGCAATAGTCATTCTATCCTTTAGCCTTCGGAACCCCAGTAATGCACCCATCACAAAGCTCCTGTCTTTCCCAAACAATGGCTTTATGGTGAAGGTGGATATTTTAATGCCATTCACTGGACTTCTGATTTCCTGTGGATCCTCTTCACTTGGGCTTCACACTTAGGCTACAGCTCCAATTCAACATAGTAGTGAAGCATGTGACCCAGGTCTAAGCCAATCAAAACTCCACGTTCCCCAGGCCACGGTGATTGGTGCAGAATGTTCACATGACCCAATCTGACTCAGGTAGATCACGAGAGACTCTACCCTTCCATCTGAAACTTAATCTGGAATTGAAGACTGTGGGAAGAGCTGTGGCTACATTATAATCACAAGAGGTGAGCTTGTTTGGATATAGGCTTCTACATCAATGTGGAGACCACAGAATCCAGAAATAGGTCTTGGTAGCACCACTTAAGCTGCAAGCTATACCTGAAACCAAATCTTTGGTCAGGAAACCTCAATTGGGTAAATTATTAAATTTCATTTTTATCTAAGGCACCTAGAGTAAAGTCTTCTTTCGTTTACCACAAAAAGATACGGATACAGCACCAATGTCTTGCACCTGTATCTCTACATTTCCCCCATTTTAAAAATAATTCTTTTCTTTTCCTCTTTTTGGATCATGGTGCTAGCAGGAAAATGACTTCGTATAAAATAAAATAGAACTATTAAAGAAACAAAACTTAAGCAAACTCACTAGTAAACAAAAAATACAAATTACAATGAGAATAATTTTATCCTGATTAAATTGCCATATTTTAAAAACTTCAAAAATTGCAGTTGTCGCAAGTCTAACAAAGTTATGATGAAAAAGTATGTTTATCCATTGTGTGACAAATTAAATTGGTACAAATATTTTGGAAATCTATATTGCAACCATGTGACTAAAATTGTTTATATCCTTTGATTCAGTAAGTCTACTCAAAGAAATTGACCTTAAGAAATATTGCAGAGACCTCAGTTGTGCCTTTAGTTTATCAATGTCCTACTTAAAACTAGTTAATAAAACTAGACACCACATTTTACAGATAGAAAAATATTGTGTTCCTATCCATTTTCAAGACCTGGAATAATATTTATGTACATACTAATTAACCTTGAATTAATTTTTTTAGAACTTAACAATAATTTAGTAAATTCTCTTTGCATGTAACTGTTATTTAAATTTTGCATTGTGAATCTGTTACACATTTATGGTTCATCTCTCCAAAACCAAAGCTCCTTGAAGTAAACTACTGGCTTGCATCTTTATCACTTTCTGGCAACATTTCAGTCAATGGAAATTTAGTACCTACCTACTATGAGGTGGGAACTGCACAGGAGCTAGTACAACCTGTGATAAAGAAACTATGATAAATGTCTCCCTGGGAACATATGTTCCACAGCTAACATACAAGACAATTAGTCTAACAGTAGAATCCCAAGCAGCTTCAGAAATTCTCAGTGATCCCTGAATTTTTCCTCAGAGACCTCAATGTAATGCAAATACGGCCAATAGAAGGCATGGCAGCTTCAGTGTCTCTTCATGAGCTCTATGACCAGAGGAAAGGGTGATTTTGTAGCCACTTGGGCTCTTCTGACTCCAGCAGCACTCTGTAACTTAAAGTAGTGATGGTGAACCTTTTAGTACCTTTTTCAAGGGTACAAACAACCTACTGTGGCACGTGTGCCATAGGTTCACCACTGACAACGTCTGAATACTTGATGCTATTTTATACTTTTGTTCCCACTTTAGCCACCTGATGAAGGTGTCCTTCATGTGAACCCTGCTCTGTGATGCTTACCCTAAATCCCCTCCGTCCCTCCCTGATCCATGCTGACTCTGTTACCTGTATTTATTATTACTGGTGACACTATCTCATGGTCTCTAAATGCTCACTTACCTGTATAATTTTTCCATGATACCATGAACTCCTTGAGGTTCTAATTAATCTTTGTATTGCAGAGTTTAAAACAGTGCTGAGCTCATCTTATGCTCAATAAATGCTCACTGAATTGATTATTGAATAAATTTTCAGCTAATTGCACTGCAGTGCTTCTGAGAGTTGTTGTTGATGAGGCAATAAAGGCTTACATGTATTTTACTCAAATCTTGCCCTGTGGATCCTTTACTGCAATCTAGTTCATCAAGCTGATGTCTGTGCACTTGCACAAACACATAGACACACACACACACACACACATCACCTTGTATGCCTCAGGTACAACCGCACTGTGTGTTTCCAAATATTTGCAAAGGGAACACTTGACAGTTTCACCTAGACCTGCACCATGCATCCCGCAAGAGAGTTGAGCTAAAAGTGCTCAGTGTTTTCACCCAAAGGGTGACATGTTGTTTAATGATGTTAATTTTCCAACATAAACACATTATACTGCAAAAAAGAAATTTAAGTAAATGCCTGTCAGGTCAACAATTACAAATGGCAAAGGGAAGATAGATTAATTCCTGCAAGAGTAAACCTGAATTATTCCAAAAGGCAAGTATTTAAAAAAAAAACCAATTTGACACAGATTAATTAGCTCTGTGTCTTTATAAAACAAGTTCTCTGTTTGGCTTGAAATACATTCCAATTTGCTTATAGTGTTAAGTATACACATTTGCTGTACTTACTCAGTTTTAGCCTGAATTTAATTTTGAATTTTCTAAGATCATTTATAGTTCTTCCCACAGTCACAATGTCTCAGTTTAAGAATACATTTTCAGTTGCACAGGTTACTAAATGATTTTTAACAGAAGTAGCCACTAGATAAAGAGAAGTAGAAATACAAGTGGGCTTCCCTTACAGAATTCATAAAGTAATTGCACAATATTCCAGATGCATGAAACTAGCAAAATAATCCGTTGTACTTCCTTAGTTATAGATTTTTGCTGAGCTTTACACACCAGTTTAAGAAATCTGACCTGAAGAAGTCATCGTATCGGTGAATACAGATCAATTTTTCAAGGTATTTTAGTCCAGAATTATTCATAGTAGGGGAAAAAAAGAAAAACAATTGTTTAAAAACAGAAAAATCCAAATATCCATGTGTTGAAATGCTACACATCTTTTACAAATGACGTTAAAAAAGAACATGCAAGATTTGGGGGAGAAAAACAAATTACAGCAAGATTTGGGGAGAGCAAGAATAGTGATTCTGAGCATGGATTCTGCTGCTTTGGTTTAAATCTCAATTCTGTCACTCAAGAGCTATATGACAGCACGCAAATTAGGTGATCTAACTTCTGTTTCCTCACCCAAAAATGGGGATAAATGACAGGACCTAGAACATAAAGTTGTGAGAATTGAATCAACACTAATAAATAAATATTTTAAAGCCCTTAAATGTATATAAAGTCCCTAACAGACATTAGAAGGCAACATAAACATTAGTTTCTACTAACATTAATAATAGGTTTCTATTTTCATATACAATATATGAATATATTACATATAAGAAAAACTTGGAAGAATATGTTTCAAAATATTAGCAATGATTTTAGGATAATTACAAGGGTTTTCTTTATGCCTTTTTTACTTTCTAGAATAAAGATGCACCACTTTGCAATTTTTTAATGTTGGTCGTTTTCAGTGAAATCTCTACTTATTATATACTGTTTATCTTAAAAGACCATTTTAAAAAGAAGTATAACATAAGACTACAATGTGATATAATACAAAATTGCAGGCTTTACCTTAAACTAAATAAAATTTCACTGTGCCCAAAGAATTTGCAATCTATGGTATAAAGATATAACTATAGTTTTGTTGTTTTAATTTCTAAATATTTATTTCCTGCGATCAGATATTCCTATATAGAATTCAGAAATGTCATTCACACAATAAGGATCTAATAGCTGAATAGAATACATGGAAACTCCTATCATTCCATAACTTACATTCCAGTAGATGGAGACTGACCATAAACAATGCATATGGAGTTACATAAATTATATAACACCCTGGAAGACAATACTTGGGTCTAAAAATTTGAAGCAGAGTGCCAGGGTTGGGTAGAGTGACAAAGGGGAAGGGAGAAGAGTTGGCTACAATTTTTAAAAGACTGATCATACTACGCCTCAGTGATCACTCATTAAATGGCAGAAACGATTCAAAGCTCTTTGAGAAATATAAAGATAAGTGTTCATTCTATCACTCCACCTGTAGTTATAGAGCACTAAGAATGCACCAAGGAATGGGCTAGGTGCTGAGGACACCGTGTTCCCAAAAGGTCATGACTCCTGTCTTATTTTGCAAAAAACAAGATCTTATGATCAGAAAATAAAGTCAAAAGCACAAATGATTACAGATTGTGTTGTGCTCTAAAGGAAAGAAACAGATTCAGGGAGGGGACCTAGCCCTTTAGAGCAGTCAGAGGTGCCTTCCATGACATAGCCACATGTAAACGAAGACCTGAAAAGTGGGAAAGGAATCAGTGGTGAGAAGAAACAAAAGAAGAGCTACCTAAGGATGGCAAACAGCACGTGCAAAGGCCGTGAGGCAAAAAAGAACTCAATGCATTCAAAGTCCCTAAAGGAGACCGACATGATTAGAAACAAGTGGACAGGGAGGAAAGAAGTAGAGTTGATACTGCTGAGGCAAAGAGGAGCCAGCCCAGTCATCAACTCAGTCTATACTTCACCTTGCAATAGAAGAAGATGCAGTTTTGCTCAGTTTCCCAGGGCTGCTTCCAACATGCCCTTGTCCCTTGAGCTGACATGACACCATCCTCTCCAGAAGAATCCCCTTGATAATTTAGCCTCTCATGCAGTTGTAGTCAAGCTGTAGCTGAGCTGTACTCATTGGGTGGCTTGGCTGGGTCTCAGGAATCTACCTGCAGAATTGCTCATCTGTATGGGGGTTGGAGGTTTCCCTTCCTTCCATTCCAGGTGGGACTTTCCATGATGCTGCCTAAATGTCCTCACCACATGACAGCTGGTTTCTACCCATGACCCGGAGGGAACAAGGAGGAAGCTGCTGGGTCTTTCACAACCTCAACTCTAAAGCAACACACCATCACTTCCATCACAGGCAAATGGTCTACAGACTGACTTTGACACAGTTCATCATGGCCCAGACTAGAGACGAACATATATTAGCATATAACATTAATATGTTATTTACAGAATGTAGATCACTCAGTATAGTTTCTGCCTAGAATGAACAACAAATAATAGCTATTTTACCATTACTGCTTATAAGATAGCCAGTGGCCAGTTCAGCAGCCACCTCTGAACCTCTCACTTTAAAAGAGCATTTCAAGCACACAATGCCTAACCCCAAAATGTTACATACAAAATGTCAAGAAACTATAGCAGCTTCTAAGCACTTTTAGTTCAAAAACATGTTTCATTTTTTCATTCATTCTTTAAGCAATATGTACCAGACCTATCTAAATTTTCTGGATTTGTTTCCTTATCTCTACAACATGAGAATGATCACTACACCTTCTTAACACTCAAGGGGTAAGGGATATAGCTCAGAGATAGAATGCCTGCCTGGCAGGGATGAGGCCCAAGTTTCAATCCTCAGCACCACCAAAAACAGCTTAACACTGAAGCAATCTGAAAGATCTCCAAGACTGGCCAGTGAAAGAATTACTTAAGTTTTAAAACAAAATGTGTACAGTGTTGTCTTAGTCACTTCCCTCATCGCTGAGACACAATACTCACAGCCAGCAACTTAAAGGAGACATTCACTTTGGCTCACATTTCAGTCCATAGTGGGTTGGCTCCAAGGCAGGACACCGTGGGCAGAGGGGATTGTACAAGAGAGCTGCTCACTACCTGGCTTGGGAGAAGGAGAGAGTGAAAGGAGGAGCCAGGGAAGGAGACACACCTCAGGCCACACCCACAGTGATTGCCTCCTGGACCTGACCACAATTCCTAACAGTAAATCAGCTGTAAACCTCCATAATCCAATCACTTCCAAAAGCCCCATCTATGTTTGCATGAGGCTTTGAGAGGACATCTAAATAAAATGCATATACAAAAAACTGGTATACAATTAGGCCCTTTTGTCAGTGAAGACTGGGAAAAGCCTGGACATGAAGAATTAAGTCAGAATCAGCAAAATACGGAGGTGTGGGGCATTGTCCAAGCAACAAGTTGGAAAAAGGAAAAGAGGAAGATAACACATATTTAAATAAGTAAATATCTGATATACTGCATATCTGTGTGTGTATATATATAAATCACACACAAATCATATGCATCTGTTGTATAAAATATCAGAAATGTATATGTGCTGTTGGTGGATATATAATAACATGCACAATATGGATAGATTTATACACAGGTAAAGACTGAGGCACCACTGTGCCCACCTCTCACAGTACTATCACGTTTTCCTCATTTGGTCTCACAACAATCCTAGGTCAGCATTTTCACAAGGAAGTAAACTCAGTGAGGATAAGAAATTTGCTGAAGGATACACAGCTTCTAAATAGTGCAGCCAGGATTTGAACCCATATGTGTCTAACTCCAAAGTCCACAGGTTTAACCAGGCGCCTGCAAACTACCGGTGGACCCAACCTCTCCACTGCTTATTATTATTAAGTTTTTGGAACAAGCCAAAAAAACTTTGCATAGTGTTGGTGTTGCTTTTATCCTAGCACAATAGAGTTGAGTTTGCAACAGGAAACAAACAACCTGAAAAGCCTAAAATATTTGTTACCTGGCCCTTTACAGAAAAAGTTTCCCAAACCCTACTCTTTACTATTACCTTATCTGAAAAACTAATTTGAAGATTTGGGGGAAACGCTCATAAATGTTGTCCATTTCGATAAGAAAGGCCTTTTGGAGATGTTCATGTCTGTTAGTTTCAATCATCAGTGATCTGGGAAATACACACGGTGCCTTTAAGGTTTAATGCATTTAATGCCTGAGAAGAATTACAAGAAGATATTTTGTGACATTTGAAGCTATTTCGATTTCAGCTGCCTGTTATCTGACACTCCAAAATAAAATCACTAAAAATTTGCAGCCTACTTACTTCAAAGCTCACATATGAGACCTGTGATTCTCCTGATGCCCCTCAAATAAAAAAAAATCATTTTAGAGATGCTATGGTTTGCAAAGCAATGAAAAACAGACTTCTGGTATTATTGTTCACTAAAAATTTCATCCAGGCATTCCTGCAAGCTTGGTCATAGACATTTCTGTTATGAATCCAAGAAAGTTTAGACTTCTATTCCAATTCACAAAACTTCACATATTCATTCATTCAATAAATTTTAAATGAGGATCTACTGTATACCAGACACTTATTGCTTACAGAATAGTTAACATTTAAGTATCAATAACCTTATCAAATACCCCTAACCAATGATATTCTCACTTTTAAGTCAGATGATATAATAAATACATCTCTTTTTCTTGGAGCTTATAGTGTACATAATACATGGAATAATATGGCACAATTAGCTTAATCTGTTGATTAAACAGATTGTTGCTAAAACAAAATGTCATAAGCTGAGATGCTTATAAATAAGCTTGTCTCTCACAGTTCTGAAGACTGGAAAGTCCAATACGAAGATGCTGGCAAACTTGGGCCAGATGAGGGCCAGTTTCCTGGTTCATGGAAGAGCAGCTTCTTGCTACGTTCTCCCCTGACGAAGGGCAAGGCAGCTCTCTCTCTCTCAGGCCTCCTTCATAAGAACGCTATTCCCATTTACAAGGGCCCTGCTTTGCCTTTCTGATCTAGTCCCCACCCAAAGGCCCCCTCCTGCCCATCCCGTCCCACCGGAAGTATGATTTCAACATATAAAGTTGGGGGGAGATACTAACATGCAGTTGATGAATGCACAGCATATAAAGAAGGTGAAAAACACAATAACAAGGCATCTGCTGAACTAGCTACATACTGGGAAAGCTTCGTGGAGAAAGTGACACTGGAGGGGAAACCTTGAGGAGGAGCAAGGCAAAGTCATATGGGGGAAGAATGCCTTTACCACGAGGTCCACAGGCTGTACTATTGAGGATTTGGGGAAACTGGGAACAGGATACAATATTTAACACTTGAAAACTGAACGCCCTTGCGTGCGCGTGCACACACGCGCGCGCGCGCACACACACACACACGATGAATATATTAAAACCAAGAGTTGGACAGCTGCTGATTCATCCATTTGCCTACCAAGCGGCAAATCTGAGGGTCAAACAGGCTGACTCCAGCGGCCAAAGCTTTTTGCCACTCTGTTACATGTGTCTCTTTCCTCCTCTGGGACATGAATGAACCTGGGGAACCTTTGCATGAGAACGGATTCCCATTTCAGTTCATGTGACACTGAGTTATTCTAAGGAAAAACTGATCTCAGAACCATATGATTGTACTTTAAGGTTTCTAAATTGAAGGAGAAAAATGTCAAAGCTGTCATTTAAACCAAGCTAGCCCCAGACTCTAGCACTCCAGCAACTCACTCGCCCACAGATGCCAGCACAGTTGCTTTACAAATTTCTTTTCTGAAAATAAAATATTGCCATCAATTCCTTGGAATATCGGAGATTCTGGAAACAGACTCTGGTGTTCAGAGAAATGTAAATGCCTCTCTCTTCACCTGGTTCCCTGGTCCCAATGGGATACCTCACTTCCTAGGGATGTGATGCAGGTTCAGGAAGCTAAATGTAAGCACTCCAGAAACCGCTCATGCTGAAAGCCATTCTCCTTTGAAAGCAACCACAGACATGGAGAGACACAGCCACGTTTCTATTTTTGGTCATTTAATTCCCACTTGACAGATGAAGAAAAAATGGTCAGTGTGGAGTGGTGTGAGCCCTGCAAGTCCAATAGCACTTCTGATCAACAGTATCCCCGACTTTTCCTCTCTAGACAACAGCCTCTAATAATTCTAGGACAAACAGACCTAGACTCGAATCCTAAATCCTCCACATCGTCTATGTGACCTTTGGCAATTTAAGTGATGAAACTCAATCTCAATATAACATGCACAAGAAATACTTTCCTAAATCCATTTCTTCCAATTTTTAACCCTACCATTGAGGGTTTATATTCTGCTGGTTTTCACCTGCAGGATAGCAATATTTTTTAACAGTAAATATATTTTTAGTTCTAACAAGTCACCAGTGCTTCAAGCTCACCAATAAACACTCTCTAAGTAACCCCAGAATCGCTCCATAAACCAGCAACAAAAGTACTAAGAGCTGGCATAGCTGAGACCTCCAGGACCCTTTAGCTGGTCTCATTTCTCATTGCTTAATACCTAAGGCAATCAAAATGTCCCAAAGTATCTGTGCTTGCTCCCCAAAACTGGATCTCCCCTAAATCCCCGAGGGCTAGCTCTGCTTCCACTACTACCAGGCCACCTTGGCTCTCACACGTGGGCGCAGACAGTCCACTCCTAAGCTCATGTTAGTATCGCCTTCACCTGTCAATGTCTTAGTCTCACAGAGGCAGAGAGGGGGATACTTTTGACAGCCGAGCAAAGCCTCAAGACCCCCCTGGACCACTAAGGCTGTGACTGCCCGCCCCAGGCCAGCACTAACTAGAATCTTCAGTGTGGCCACTCATGCAAATTGCAATCACCATGAGCCCAGTCCTGAGTGAACCAGAGAGTGATGAAGGTAGCAAATGGCCAAGATAAAGAGATAGAAAGAACCGCTCTAGGCTCAAACGAGCAGCTGCCACTTCAAAGTAAGAAGGGATTCTTTGTTGGAATTTTATAATTACCATTATTTTCCCTTTTCTACAGATAAAGAAACTGAAGAACAAAGAATTATTTAAAATGGAAGTGGCAGAATCCAGATCCAAACACAGACACCTCTGCAGCAAAAGGTGAATGTTAAACCTTCACACCGCCCTACCTCTCATTTGGCCTCAAGTACACTTTCAACTTAATTAAAAATGACATTCCAGTAAATGATTTTCATGGCTTAGTTGATAAGAGAGAATTTGACCATATAAAAATCTGAGGCAACATTATGAAACTCAGGAAAGAATTTTAATGTAATTGCCTAGTTCAGCAGAAGCTGAGTGAGGTCTCAGGACCATGAATAATATGACTGATCTTGAAAGAAATTCTGTACTTGTTTAAGACTACAGGTCTCCTAATGACTGTTAAGTGAAAAGAGGGACTGATGGAAAAGGTTGACGCAATTTCTTATGCCAAACCACAAGGTGTCACTTAGCAGGTGACAGCCATATCATCAAAGGATCATAGCTACAATTCCCAAAGACCAAGAAATGATCTGTAAGTGATTATTATTTTAATGAACTATGTGCCTTACAACTTGTATCCCTTGGTAGGCGGTTATGCAAGTTTGGAGTAAAGAATAAGGAGGAATACATGGTTAATTTTCTTTATTTATAGCTTGATCTATGTATTAACTTATTTCTCATAACGCTTATTCAGGATTTTTTAATACCACCCCTGCATAAACTCCTAAAAAGTATGTTCTTGTGTGTGTGAGGATAAGCCTGTGAATTGATGATAATCTGTACATAGTGCACCAGCACCAGAAATTTGCAATGAAAGAGCCCTCCAGATCTTCCAGTCACAGAGACCACTCCTCATCTCGTCTGTGGCAGAGGCAAGTACTGTACCTGCTGGATCAAGACATCAGATAAAACTAAAAGACATATAGTCGATATATTTTAATGTGGTTTTTCTTTCCTTTCTTCTTTTTTAGGCTGCTTAGCAAAATCAACAATTCCCTACCTCATGTGACCATGGCAGAATGTGTGGAGATATTTCTGTGACACAAATTAAGAAAGGAAAGAAAGAAAGAAAAAAAAAACCTGACAACTAGTTTAAAAATCTCACATAAAAAGAAGCCAAGAGGAAAAGCGGTCCAAAATACCCTGCTCTAAAGAACTAAGAAGCCTTTGCCCCAGCAGCAGACTCCCTGTTCCCATCAGTGGGCCAGGACTGGGTCATGTGCACACTTCTAAGCCAAACACGGGCACGAGCGTAAAGACTGTTCTACATCACAGATTCACCAAGACTTCTGCATCTAGACCACCCCTAATGAACCTTCATCCTTAATGAAACTTCATGAGCCATAAGTTGGAGAAGATACCACATGGGCTTGGATTCCATCATTCAGTAGAAATATTCTCAAAGGTAGACCATAAGGAGAGAAGGGAGTCATTTAACACATTGATATATAATGATTTCCCTTCCTATCAAAGACAGCAAATACTGTCAAATAAAGCAGTCACTCATCTCTCAACCCTGACAAGAATGTATTCTCATCATAAAAACAGAAAGTTGGGTCAAAGTTAGGAGCTACTCTCGCCATTCTTTTACAGGTCTGTGTGGCACCCCTTTGCCTTCAAGTGACAGGTTTGGTAAGCAGCTGGAAGAGGCAGGTCAAATTACCAAACTAACATAATCTATTAGATAGATATTTAGTGATATTAAATATGAAGGAAGAATTGTTGTGCAAACTGTCTGAAATTCAAGGTCAAAAGGCTTAAGCAATTGATTCAGAGTTAAGAGTGAGCTTTAAATGAAGCTTGTTGATTCAGCAATTCAAAACTATTACAAAGGACACTTGGTGTTTCAACCTCTTTCTGTTTGTAACTAATGGGGTCAGCTTCATCATCATCAGACTCTACTTAGTGGATGTGATCCCACACATCCACAGTGGCTTGAGCTTTACTCTTATGACAATAAAATAGCTACTCTCAGATCTCACACTCCTATCCTAAATGATCCAAGGGAAAAAATAATGTCAGTTCCAACAGAACATACCCAGATCTTAGATGTCTACCATTGTCCTAAAATGGGTCATTTCACTAGACCCACAGTAGGTGCTACTAAAGAAGAACACACAAATTGACTTAGGTCAATCTGCCTAATTCTTGGACTGCGTGTGGCGTCAGTCTCACCCAAAACCACATGGAAATGGGACACAATCAGGATATAGTAGGAGGAAAACACGAGGAGGAAATAAGGAGATATTGGGATGACAAACGAATGTCCACTGCACCAGTCTCCACATCTGAATTCTTCTCTACATAAGGGAGTTTTTCCAGCAAGCCTTCAGTTTTGAGGACTATTTAAGAGCTACATTTTATAAAACCACATGGCCAGAGCCAGGGATTTAGCTCAGTGGCTTCGCCACCTGCCTTGCAAGTGCAAGGGCCCAAGTTCAATCCCCGATACCTTTAAAAAAAAAAAGTGGCTAGTGTTATTTATTCGACTTAAAAGAAATAAATCCATAAAATCATGGCATATTTTATTCAACCACTTGAAAATCAGTCATGATTCCTAGCAGGTTTTGTGGCCACAGTTCTCCCCAGTGAAACATCATGTCAAAGCAGTTTCTGTATTCATGCTTACTGGGCTGTAACCATTGTTAATAGAGCTTAGAAATTTAGTTGCTGGCATTAGACACAAGATATGAGAGAAAAGTGATGTGCAGAGATGCTGGCACTGATTGGCACTGGGTTGTTTTCACTCAACTGCCTTCCATTGATGGATCAAAGTATTCTGAGCACCACAGTCAGTCAGGAGGAAATTCCAAAATCTACATCTGTCCATCCATCTCCCAACTGTGGCCTGAAAACAAAGTGAAAGACTAGGCGGGAATTCCTACCTTCCAATGATCTATGAAACAGTGAAATAAGAAATAAGCCAAACAAGATCAGTAGCCCAAACATGATGTTACTGTTGAAACAACCCAAGACCACAACACACAATAAGCAGCAGTCTGGTGCACTCAGAACACATTTGCATTTGACAGATTACTACTTGGGCAACTCATTTGATGTCTCTAAGATTCAATTTCCTTCTCTATAAAATAGGATCAATATAATGGAGTAGACAGATTTTGAAGTCTCTGCCTATTCCACAATTACTGTTCTTAACTGCCCTCTAATACATAGAGGAGCCACTTCGTACTTAGTTCTGTAACAGCCATTTTCCAAAGAGCTGTGGTTGATTGGGCCAGAAGTAAAAAGTCTAGCCGAAGCTGAGCCAGCCATTGAAGTTTCTTTCCCTGGTAATATTTAGAACGGGGCCCAAAAGAGAAAATTAGTGTCCTTCAGAACAGTGAGACCAACAAAATGGTGACTCAAGATATTGGCAGCCAGATTGTACAAATGGGAAGAGAAAAGCACCTATGAGAAAAGATTAAAATGCGCACATACAATGAGCTAGGAGACCCAGCGACTCTCCCCTGCTTTGCAGGCCCCTGTGGGGCCCAGCTGATCCCCGCCCCAGTGTTCCACAGCAAACCCTCGAAGTCAGCCTTCTTCAATCCATTCTTCTTGTTTAAAATGCTCAAGCTGGTTTCTATTACTTGCAAGCAAAGAGTTTATACAGTATGCACACCTGATATCTAACTCACTAGATGACTGTGCAATTAAAAGAGGTAGCAGTATCATATAAATGGAAAGCACTGTAAAAAGTAATAATAATAATCATCTGCAAAAATGTGCTATTTTTTAATAAAAGACTAAAATTACTTTGGTGAAAAGTGTTTCTTGACATGGGAAGATGTTTATCATTAAGCAGATGATCAGGTTGCCAAAACAGAAACTGTTTACACCAGGAGTCATCAAACTTTTTAAATGAAGAGCCAGATAAAAAATATTATAATATTTGTGGATGTACAACTCTGTCCTATAGTCATACTGAGGAAGCAGAAGTCATAGATAATATGAATACAAATGGACCTTTTAGTATTCCAGTAAGACTTTATTTATGGACACTAAAATGTAAATTTCATATAAATTTTTTATGTCACAAAATATTCTTTTTTAAAAATTTTTTCAACCATTAAAGTATATAAAGTATAAAATCCATTCTTAGCTGTTGGACACACAAAAATATTGAAAAGTCTCACTACAAAATAATAAAATAAAAATAAAATAATTTATCTTAAAGTAGGAGATTTCAGGGATATTTACTTTCCTTTTGCCCACCTATATTTTCTATTTTTCTAGTACAGGCATAAATTACTTGTGAAATTGTTTTTATTTAAATTTTAAAATAGAAAGTGAGGTGCAGAAAAGAGGTGAAAATGGTGGTGATGGGTTCCCTCCCGAGGCCCTGGTGCTCTGGCGGTGTCCCTAGGACGGTACCTACAGCACACATCACAGCAGCTAAACAGAGCCCTCTGTGTTGGCCCGCGAGCCAAGTAGCCCCAGCTGCCCAGCATTCGGATTTAATCGCAGCGTTGACACTTTGCAATAAACAACTGGGTCTTGGGTTGTGGTGTGGGCACTCAGTCCCTAAAAGGTTCACCATCGCTGTCCTAGGAGCTAATTTGGACCTGGGTCTCACTGGAAACCTTGTACACACCAGTGAAACACAGCAGGAAATCCTGTCCAAGACGAACCTCCCACACCAACACAGAAACACTTTCTAGGTAGCCTGGCTTCAGCTGTCTAGGCCTCCCATTCTAGAAGTTATAGTACTGGTCCCACACCCTAGAATTACTGTTTTCCAGAAGGAAAGAAACAAAAATCAATGAGCCTACTTCTTGGATCCAGTTGATCAATGGATTGTGTTTTCCTTTAGAGAAGAGAGTTCAAGGTAGTATCCTTCCAAACTCTCACTACAATCTGAATGCTTGTATGCATCAGCTGTGCCTGGTCCTCTGCCAGCCTCTGCCAATATGAACCCCATCTATACAGTGCAATTCAGGGGTGTGTCCCCTCTGCTAAGAGCTACAGGTCATGTTCCCAGTGTCAGCGGTGTTCATGGTTAATTTAATAAAGCTGGAATCTAAAATAGAAATAGCAATCATTATAAGGGTGCTGTACCCATTATCTCTTTGTCTGTCTCTATTTTTCCTGTGAAACACTAATAACCCCAGTTGAGAAAGTGGGGCTCAGGCCCAAAGTCATCCAGTAGGCAACTGGCAAAACCCACATTCACTCACATGTGGAATCCCAAGATGGCCAGACAGTGTTGCCCCTGGACCATGTGCAAGCTAAGACTGGGGAGCTCTGTCAGAAATGCGTCCCAGGACCCATTCACAAACCTGCTCTCTCTCACTCATATGTTGACACTTCCCCAGGTGATTTGTTTGCCCTTCAGATTCCGAGGAAAGTGAAGAAGAGAACAAGATTTATTAAGTACCTGTGAGCCAGACAGTGTACCACTTCAAGGTGATTACTTTTCTTTTCATTACCACAGTGATTTCATGCCTATCATATTAACATATAGAGCAAGAACCTGAGGCTTAAAGAAGTTAAATAATTTGCCCAAGATCCACAGCAAGCAAACAGCAGGGCCAAGATTTGACCCTGCTGTTGGTAGCAACTCTGCCTTCCCAGCTTTCGTGTCAGAGGATGGAAGAAGTGGCAGGATCCTGCAGCCAACTTGGAAGGGGTTTGGCTGACTTTTGAGATTGGGTCTACCTCTAGTTCTGGAAAAGGGTAATTTCTACATTCCTACAGTGTCCCCTTATCCACAGTTTTGCTCTCTATGGCTT